AAATTAAAATTAATTTAATATAAATATTATTAAATTTTGTAATTAATTATTTAAAAAATATATAAATTAATAAAATATCAATAAAATTATATAATTTTAACAAAGATATGTGTGAGAATAATTACTGCACTTAAAATCACCTTAAAAAAGAACTAGCTTTGAACGTACAAAATGACTGTTAAAAGAATCAAATCCCTTTCATGGTTCTATAGTATGTTTTTTTGCCTAAAAATATCTTCCATAGTTGAGATACAGAACTGAATACTGAAACCCTGGCAAGTAAATTTGGGGTTGGAGTGAGAACAACAAGGATACCAGATCTGACCTTAGATTCGTGAAATTGAATCGGGTAATCAACAGATCTTGACGTTCCGAACAGTGATGGCTGCGCCGGTGACAGAAGCTTTTCAGGTCAACGAATCGGGGAGCGGATGGAGAGGAAGATGCTCTGGAAGACTGAAAAGACTGGTTAAAAAGTAATACGACGCAGCGTGTAGGAATACGAAGCTGTTTCAGCGTTTCAGCGTGTACGAATACGACGGCGTTTGAGGTCCATTCCAGAAATTTGCTTGGATTTAGTCTAGGCTTAATTGGTCCACTAACGCGGAGAGAGAAAATGGTACACCAGAAAGGTACAGTGTCCGAATAGAATCAAACCCCTTTCATGATTCTATAGTACATGTTGCAGTCTGATCACAGTGTCCGAATAGAATCTTTTTAGTGGCAAAATTTTGGTAATAATTAAATTAAATTAAATTAAAGTAAATGATTTTTCTTTTACTCCTATGGTAAAGATTTTTCTAATTATTGCAGCCGAGAGGTCATTAGAAGCTATTTATTTCTTACCCTTTTTTTTTTTAATTAATTGCAATAGGAAAATAATTTTTTTATTATGTATATATTCTCATAAGGTGTATTAATGATTTTTTTATTAATTATTATATATTATAAAAAATAAAAATTAATTTTAATATTATCATTAATTTAATTAAAAATCATGCATATATTATTAATATTAAAAATGAAGTTACCTCTGCTACCAAAATTCTTCCATCAAAAATTAAAAAAGTATACAAAATGTTAGTCCTGTGAGCATATTATGTACCCCCAATGTGAAGCTATCTCACGTTTAATGGGGGTTGCCTTCAGTGGAGCAAGCTATCTCAGGTTTAATGGGGGTTTGAGATTGGTTTGTCAATTGCATTAAAGAATTCAAAATTCTTTTTATAAGTTAATTCTCTTTTGCATAAAATAATGAAACTCATCTGATATCACATGATTTGCCTAAAACTTCTAAAAACTTCTAAGGTCGTCGCTGTTGCAGCTGGCTGCCATGAACTCATGAAACTCAAGGTCGCGGCATTATCTCTCTATTATTTCTACTACTCGCTGCCTATTGATCTGTTGCTAGTTTAGTTCAAATTTGATGAATGTCTCAACAACTGAATGATTTGTGGTTTAACTTTTGAAATAATTTGTTTGAGTATGCGTTTGGCTCCATTGTATGGATGAATTCATTTCGAAAATTTAGTCTAAACACTTGTTTTCCGTAGAGATCCGATTCATGATGCTGATATTCAATATGCTAGATCTCCGTTATATCTTGAAACTGTTTGTTTGATTGTTCATAGTTTAAATCTCTTTTTGAATTTGAGAAGTTCTTCTTTAGAATATGTTTGATGAATTTGGAGTTCTATGTTCTGAATTCTGGGAAATTTTTGATTCAAATTCTATCCAAACACCAAATGTTTCGGTTTTTGCTAAAAAATATCAACTACGTTTCGTTTAATTTCTCCGTTTAATCAAGTTTAGTTTTCGTCTAAATCAATCGTTCGATTTTATCCCTGTTCTGAGTTTAAAGCCGGTGAGATGTTCACAGGTGGTGAAAAAGAGTTGATTAAAGCTCTACTGGAGCTCCGATAATGAAAAGGTGACGATCCTAAAGCAGGTGGCAAATCCATAGGGATCCATGTCCACAGAGGCATCGTGCTTGTCAAGCAGCTCTAGCGCGATCTCAAGCGCATGAAGCAAACACTCCGTCGGAGCTGAGAACAAACTAGCAGCAAATCTTGAGAAGTTAAGGAAGAAGCGCGGAGGTTCAAGTCACATGCGCCGTCGAGCCGAAGGGATTATGTAGTTGCCTCCGGTGATGGCTTCTCTAAAGTGACGATTTCGTCAAGTCCTCGGTGACAGCCCTAACACAAGCAAAGCCCTTAGAATTTACTCTCTCTCATCTGGATCTGAACCTCAGACGTGTCATATGATTTGGCAATAGCATTTGTACACGTCACAAAATGGTTTGATCATCCCAGCCGTTGGAATTGAAAAAATCTGACAGGTGAGATGAATCCAATCAAATTCCCTACGATCACCATGACCAATATTTGTCTGTGGCCTATCCAATTCCAGTGACATCAGCCTTGGCTACTGATAGCTCACAGCAAGCAAGTCGTGAAGCCAAGCAGCAGTGAACTTGAGATCCTTCTCGGTCCAAAAACCCTCTTCTGCCATGGCATAACTTAATTCCAATATCTTCTCAAACAACCCATGCTTGTCTCACCTCCATGGTCTAGGAATTTGATCAAACGGCCTACATTCACATGAAGATCCTTCTCCTCTAAAGATGGATATGCCTCAATTTTATCATACCTATGATTGTGGGTGGATAAACAACAACATAACCACTAATCTCCCACAAAAGCCCTTGTCCCCAATAACCCCTCAAAACATCAAAAGCCATGGTGCTAACAAAAACAGGAAGCATCAAAGCCCAAAATGGTGATGAATGATACATGGTATTAAATCAATTTACCAGCACCATTATACCTCGTGGCAATGCCACTTTTTGTGCATGCTCATCAAATCTAACATCAAATGCTTCCAAACCCGACTTTTTGGTAAAATAAAACACAGAATCAACATCAGGTAACCCATTGGAAATCCCTTGTATATATTGCTTGCCACCAAAGACCTCAGTGTAAAACTCCTCACAATGCCCAATTGCACCTACATTCTCTAGTGGCAATCCCCTAGGCCAAACTGACCTTTGCCCAAAATGGATATATGGGTTCACTACAGTCCTATTAGGATTATCATGACTATATTGCAACATAGACTCCTGCCTAGCTCCCTCCCCCACCAATTCTACATCAAAATGCTTCCCTAAATCATCACCAATCACCTCCCCACGATCATCACAATCAAAGATCTTCTTTGCACCATGTTGGATAGCAAACAAATAACCCACACTCTTCCTAACATAAGAATCATACGGCAAGTAATCCACAACACGGAACCCCAACTTAGCTTGCTCATCTAAAGACAAAAAAATGGCACCTTTCAAGCTCCAATCCTTGGGCGTCCTAGAATTCCCAATTGCCAACACCTGCCACCCCCTAATCTTGACCATCTTCTTCAACAAATCAGACGGATAATCCGACACAGACACCACAATCCATTGCTCTGATCGAAAATTGGCGTAAGGAGACAACTTATCACTAATGGTTGCGATCGAATTCCACTTGATTTGAGGGAGAGAGATAGAATCAAGCGATTGCTGCGTCTTGGACTGGTGCCGGAGGAAAGAAGCTGTGTCGGTGGAGTTGTAGAGGAAGAAGACGGCTGCAACAGTGAATATCAGGATACATATTGTAACAATTTTGTAGAAATTATCAGAAACCCACGTCGAAAAGTCAAGGCTTTTGGCCTCGGAGAAACGGTGGTGGTTCCGGTGCAGCGTGGGGAGAGCTCTGATATGGGATTTCGGCGATTTCGGTGATTTTGGCACTGCCCGATCCTGGACCAACATTTGATCTTCTGGAGATGCCTTAAATTCAGCTTATCTCCGCTGCTGAATTCGTGGGCCTTCTGATCTTCAATTGTGCTTCTCACTCTCAGCTTGACTCATAGTTTGACTTCGCCGGCGGCGTTGCAGTCGTCGTCGTCGCCGTCTCTAAGGACTGAAAAGTTCAATACTTTCTGGTACTAAATCGAACAGGGAGACAGACACTCTCGTGTGGTTGCCAACAAGTAAGGAGGGGGGGTGGGGGTTTCTTAGGCTTCAAATGTAATGAGACGCAACCGCAACTAATTTGGTGCGCTGGTGGTCGGTGTGTCCCTGTCTTCCTCTGCAAAATTTCTACTTTTTGTTTTGGGTAGTACTTCAATTAGTCCTTGAACTTCTTTTGATATGCTAATTAGCCCTTGAACTTAGTTTGCCTTTTCCATCGAGTACTCATTAAGGATACTCAAGCCTTAATTGGAATTTCTCTATTAATGTCAACTTTTCTTATTTTGTTGGGAGATCTAGGAGGAACAACCTATATATTTTCAATGATACAAAGCTTACAAGCGATACTTTTTTTTTGCCTAACTTTGTTTTGTCAAATTTTACTTAAAATAAAAAAATAAGTAAATTAGTTATAACATATTAAATTATATAATTTTTCTTCATTCACTTTGATCTTAGCTTTGGCTAAAAAAAAAGGAAACTTTGATCTTGGTAAAACATTCTACTATATAATCATACTATATTGAGTAATAAAATGAGTAAATAAAATAATAATTAAATTTTGTTTTTAATCATTTAGCTACTGGGTTATCTTATGTAGTAATCTTATTTTTACAATGTGTTAAGTTGTCATTAATAGTTATAAAGATAATGTAGAATCACAATAATATCAAAGACAACCTTGATCTTAATTGAGGATAATTGATTATAAAAGCACTTAAATAATTTGAAAGTAAGTTTTAGGGCAAATTTCAGAAAGCAAACTAACTTGAAGGACTAACTTAAAGGTCCATTCCTTTCTGTTTTATGCTTCGAGCATTGCAGTTTCTATTTCTACCTAAAAAAAAAAAGAATAATGATACAGGAGATGATTTTCTCAAGACGAAATTAGAGTACCACTTATGTAATTTGCCACATATATAAGCACATAATACACTTATCATGTAAATTGAATTAAATGATTGGTTTGGGTTTTTATTAAAAAATGTAAAATTTTTAAATTATCAAAATCAATTTCTCTTCCGTCTTCACCACTCCTATTATCGATTTCTCTTCCGTCTTCATCACTCTTGAGCCTTAACCCTAACCATCCAAATCAAAGGTGAGGAAGAGGAGAACCAACCAAATCAACCCAAATCTCATGTAAAAATAAAGCAAGTTCAAAGTCAATAGAAAAAAATCAAACAAGTTTAGTTTCGACGGAACTCACCAAATCAATGCTGGAAAAAAAAACAACTTTGGCATAGAAAGAAGAATTCTACAGAGATGCAAGACAATGCAGGAATAGGAAGTGAAGTGAGAAACTGAGCTTCAATGAGATTTAGAATTGGGAATTAAGTTAAACTCATTTTACAAATCGCCCCTCCCAAAAGTTAAAATTACACACGTACGTACCTATGTGGTGAATGTGTTGCGTGCTTGTTTACATAGTAAGCCACGTAAGTAATCCTTCAATTTCGTCTCACAAAAATCATTCTTGTATCATTAATCCAAAAAAAAAAAATTTATTTATTATTTGTAGCAATTTTTTTTTGTTCGAAAAAGTGTCACAGGCGGACTGCAAAATAGAAGATTTTTGTTTTTTTATAGAAAATCTGTTTAGTTTATTAGGGTGTGGATTTGGGAATGTTCCCATATGATGTTAGATCTTAATTTTTTGGGCCAATTATATGAAGTCAGCCTATCGATACTGTCCGTAAATTACCTAAAGATCAGACTGAAGTTTATTACATTCTTTCCATGTTTCTCATTTTTCCATTTTTAAGAGGAAAAAACTCTTCAGTTTGAGAGTAACAATGTATTT